TAATCCTTTTTCTTTTCTTTGAGCGGTCTTTTCTCTCATGTTTTTCGCTTCTTCTGTAAGTTCTCTGTTTGTTTCCTGAGAAAAAATTCTCCATTTTCCCTGCAATCCTTCTCTCTCACTCTCGTCCAATCTCTTTCTTACCCTGAAGATAAGGGCCCAGCAGATCTCGGATACGCACTTGTTGCTTCATCGAAACTGAAAAAGATATAGATTCCTGCTCTTTTGGGGTGTATCGCACTTTCCCCTTTTTGCATTTTCTCGAGAAAATAAAACAAGCTCCTTTTTTCTTCTCTGTTTTCCCCCACCAGCTTACTCAAGTAAACAAAGTTGAGTCGAATCTCAGAAATCTCTTGGATTCATTTTGTTCCTTGTTAAAAAAAAAACTGTTCGTTTTTTTTTCCTAAAGGTAGATCCTTTATCTCGTTTTAATCACTTTACTGATGATAAGGTTTCTGGGTTTCTTCCTTATACAGATTAATCTCACTTAAGTTTCTATGTTTTGTAGTGTTTAACAATGTCTTGTTTTATATTCGTTCCTTGCTGCTTTACAAAGCTTGTTTTTTTTTTCTATGACTTACCTTCAACCACTTGTTATATCTCGGTTGTTAATAGTCTTTGAGATCTTAAGAGCAGCTTTAGTCCACTTCTTGTTTGTATGAAAGAAGAAGTGATGATGATGCCTTGTGTGTTTTGTTTTTGTAATGAAAGTCATTATTAGTTCATGAGATTGATTCATGTTTTCTTTTTCCTTTCTTGGTTAAACAACAATCTTGCTGAAGTGAAGTGAAAGATGCAGCACAACAGCTTTTTCCTGGGGTGCAATTACTCAAACAGTCACATTACAGATGCTACAACTGGCTGGAGTTTGTGTCCTGTTCAGGACATTGATACGGTCTTGACCAATAGATACGGCGTGAATGTGAATGTGAATGTTGATGATACATTCTCTTTATTGTATCGTGATCTTTATGTTAGACAGTTGAAGGAAGAATTGAAGCACACCATGCTTGTACATGAATCTGTCTTTGAAAGTCAGGTGCGTTTCTTTGTAATGCTTCCATCTCAAGTGTTTTGTGTTTCCATCAGAGTTTGATTCTTTATTTTTCATTTCAGATTCATGAGCTTCATCGACTGTATCAGAGGCAGAAGGAACTGATGATGGAAATGGAGGTAACTCGACATAACGAAGCCTTGTACCTAAATTCTGGATTCCCTGGTCCTAGAACACACTGGATGAGTTCGAGCGTCTCTGCATATCATACTGGGAGTTTTCCTTATGAAGAAGACATTCCTAATCAAATTGAAGCTGTAGCTAATGTTGCCAAGTCTGAAAAGGTCTTGGATTTGGAATTACCGGTTTTTGAGTATAATGGGGAAGAGAGAGGTTTTATGAATGGCGAGGTCGATGGAGTTCCAAACTTTCTGAAAGAGCAATCTCTGAGAAGGATGTCTCTGGAATGTGGTAGGCAGTCAAATAAACCGCAACTTGATTTGAATGAACCGGCCAAGATCGAGGAACATTCAGATTATGGGTTCAACCAGTTCCTTAGTTCAGTTACATCAAATGAAATTGGAGAAGAGTCTGATACAAAGAATGAGGGAGAGGATTCAGTAAAGGATTCCTATGGGATGGATGAAGCGGAAGGCCAACCGTTATCTGCAAAATGTCAAGGAGGTAAGAAAATGTACAAATTGATTTCTTCTTTAAGCATTTTGTCACATTTCTTGATATATCGAAGCCTAATTGGTCTGATAATTCCTTTGAGCAGAGTATGGAATTGACTTGAATGTGTCTCTCCTTTCAACCGAAGGAGTGACTATTGTTAAGAAGTTTGTGACTGAGAAACCTCAAGAGTCTTTATCGGTTTCTTTGCATGAAAAACATGGATCAAAGCAGTCGCGAATGATAGTTCAAGCGCTACCATGTTCAAATAGTATTTTACTTTTGGCCAAGCAGTATAAGCCATTAATGAGAGGCTCAATGCCAGGGAAGAAGGTTAAACTTGGTCCAAGCAACAAAACTTTGAAAGGCTCAGATCGTGACCCGCACTCGAGTGCTCAAGCCACCTCAGAATCTCAAAGCAATCAAATGAGTATGGAGAAAGGGAGTTCAAGTTCTTTGTCTAAGGTGATTTCTACAAGAAACCGGACCAATCTAGAAAAGAAAAGGACTTGTGAACAACAAATGAATTTCAGTAATTGTCAGAACGTAGTAACGAAAAAGAGGGCAAGAACCAAACGGAAGAAAAGCAGAAGGATTTATCTTGTTACAGAGGGAAATTATCAAGAAATATCTGCTGCTAAGGCTATAGTTGATATGTCTAGAGAGCCAGGTCGAGAAACGTCTGATTTTATCACTTCGTTATCCAAAAATCTACTTTGGTTGGCCGAGATCTCTTCTTCGGTTGTTGAGGACTACGAAATAGAGGATTTTGATGCCATGACATTGCATCTGCCGCTAGAGGAGCACAAGAAAAGTTTTAGATTGAACTCTGCAGACAACAAAACAGCAGCCTCCAGTATCGTCCATGTAAGGCAGAGGAGAAGCCGGGCCAGGCAGGGGAAGCGGAAATGTAAAGATGACCAGCACGTTGATAACTCAAGCTTTGGCACGTTTCCAGAATGTGAAGCCAATGAGGACCTGCAGGTACTAGAGAAGGTAACTGAGGCTTCTGAATCAAAATGGGCTTGCATGTTCCCCGAGAACACTCCTCCTAAACCAAGAGACGCTTTCATTTCCTCGGTGGAAGAAAAAACGGGTGTCGATTGGGGAGTAATCAAAAAGCAAAGACGGAGCTCTAGAATTCCTGCTTCCGATTTTCAGCAAATGATCATCAACTAAGTAGTAGTATAGCCAAACTAAAGAGGTAACTACTACAATACTTATTGCTTCATGTTCTTGGAGAATCGATAATTCCTGTGAAGGTGCTTTTAGAAACAAGTCTTGTTGCGTAGATCAAGACTACATAGGAGAAATCAAAGATTCAAAACTTTAGTAGCTACTTAGTTCATCAAAAGGCAATGAATGTCTTTTAAATTTTAACTAGGGAAGAGATGGTACTGAAGAAGTTATACATATATTAGCAAATGCTACAAAGTTCAAACGGCCATTATTTTGTGATTTGGTTCATTTAAAGGTTAAAGCTTTTCCCTCATATCATATGGTTACTAATTTTTCTTTGAAAAGTTCAAAACCAAATTGCTGAATTTTCCTTAACAGAGATCTCTCTACTAAATATTGGTTATGATATTACACTATATTGAAGGAAACAAATGTATAAATGTATGGATAAATATCAACCAAAAAAACATAGGCAAATAGATAAAAAGAAAGAAAGAGTGATTCTTTCTTTGTAACATAACAAAAACAAAAGAGTATTAATTGGGGTTTGTAAAATGAGAACTTTGAAGAGCTTCTTGAAGGAGCTCATGATCATCCCAAGAATCGCGATAAGTCTCAAGATTTTCCTGTGAATTGTTGAGAGCAGACAAACAAAGTAGCTTTCTCCATTCTTCCAAATGCGGAAATCCAACATAATCGGCGTATTTATCGCAATACTATATAGCCAACAAAACCAACACACAAAAATTGTTTTAGGACATGAAATCACAAGTTAAAATGTTGATTTTTGTTTGTTACTTACCGTGAAATCGGCAATGTCGTGAGTGTTGTGTTTAGGGACTCCGGCGAGATCCCTTGACCGATAAAAATCGGCGACGGATTGTAACATTTGATCGGAAGAAGGAAGAGATGACTTTCCGGACAAAACTTGAGCTATCCATTTTGCTTGTGCTTCAAAGAATGGGAATCCTATTAGCTGTACAAGTACAAAACCATTATTTATTTAAAAACAAGAATTTTAAAAAAATCAAAATTATTATTAAGAAGAAAAAAATAGAGACCTTTCTCGGGATTCCGACAAAGGAGAGAGAAGGGGAGAGAGAAGGAGGGAAAGTATGTTCAAAGAGTGGGCCCACTCTATCATCATCCACTTCGATTCTTCCTTTACTCTCAAGAAATGGAAACTTGTACGAGTACCTATGTTGATTATTAAATTAATACGAGAAACATGTAAAATACAATACAATTGAAGAAAAATGGTTTATTATTGTATATTATCATTGCCCCAAGAGCTAGGGAAATGAAACGTATATTGAGAAGACCAATGTGGAAAATATTTTGTAGCCCACAAGGAAGTGATATGTATATAAATTTATACTACTAGTATATGTTTAGTTTTAGACTTTTAGTCACACATAACATATACTTTAACAAAAAAAGTCATAGAGAACATATAGGTTTAGTAATTTATATCTTTTGTACGATCGAAATTATTTCCATCGATATGATTTTGTAGTAGGACTAGTATTTTAAGTTAAGCAATATCATGAAGATCCCAATCATCAACCATAATATATTGGAACTATTTTTTTTTTTTTTTATTACATGAAGCAATATTTATGATGTCGATGAAGACCACAGTACCCCACAAAGCCACATTACAATTAATTAAATTTTTTTAACTAATTACGATCATTATCTTTTTTGTCTTCGCTAACGGAAACACAAAGTAATGATTTAGTCTTTTCTTCTACTTGCATGAAAATATGTGTTTTCAACACTAAAGTTTGTTTATGTATATAGCGATCTTTAAGTAATTAATAATATTAATCAATTAGATGAAAATAAGATTTTTCGTTTATCCCAAACAATCTTACCCGGTGCAATATAAAATTGTATCAGCGACGACCCAAGATCCATCCACAAAAATGACTCTCCCATCATCCTCCAAAGATTCAATCTACAAATCAAAAACCAAAGAAATGGAACTTTAAA